TTTTGCAATCACTATAGCGATTCGCAAAACAGTCATTCCAATGGGGGATTTTCACTGGACGCCGATTAGGTCCATGCTTCGCGAACCGTTTGTTCGCAAGACTATTTTTTTCGCTGATCATCGGTTTTGAAAATGGCTGCCCTGTGTTTTCCGGACCCAGGCTTCGCAGGGCAGCCATTTTTACAGCTGATCGGCGCTCGCAAAATGGCTTCCCTATGGCCGATCTTCACTGGACAACAAGGTATTTTCCCCATTGGAATGCATTAAACCGGGTTTCAATGCATTGCAATGGGGTAAGGGTTTTTGCATGACGACGATTTCGCTAAACAGCTATTTCAATGGGACAGATTATCGTCGTCATGCGGGGCACCACTGTAATCAGATGATTTATTTGCAAAATTCATGTCTCTGTTCCCTTTACCATATATGATCTCATGGAAAGGTAAATCTTTGCTATTTTCTCTGAATCACCAGAGACTGCCTGAATTGGAAAAAGATTTTGGTAGCCATGGGCCCAGTAGAATTTAACGACTGTGGAACTAATAGAATTTTGTGTCTATGGAGGACTGTTGTTGGAGACAGACTGACTGTGAACATAAAACCTGTTTACCAGATTTAAGATGGGAAAGGAATAGTGCTCTGGCCCATGTTAGTTAAAGATCTTTGATTGATTTTGGACTTTTTGTTTTGTTTTCCTTTCCTTTCACTTCCTTTTGCTTTGCTTCCTTGACTGGCAATGCAGTTGTATGTATATTAACTGAATAATAAGTCTCACTGCATTTAGTAGAACTTACTTCCAAATAAGGTTGTATTCCTAGCATGAACCATATGGACTGTTTTCTGGTTGAAGACTGGGGAGGTAGTTCCAATCTCCCAGTCTCATTGAAATACAACCACATGGATGATTGCATTCGCTACTCAAATTACTACAATTCCTATGTGATTTGTAGTTGGATAAAGCATAGGGTACATAATAATACTGTCTGGAGATGCTGCCAGACTTCATAATCCCTAGGCTCAAACTGTAAACTTTTGTGGCCTGTAATGCTTAACTCCAAACATGGACACTGCAGCCTCTCAAGTTATCCTCCAGCTCAAATTTTAAGCAAAACTAAAATGAAACTCTTTTCCCCCCACCTACTATGCTTGTTAGAGGAGGGGAGAGATGCCCCAATTCCATATTCCTCTAGTTATGGTGTTTTTAGGACAGCAAGCCAAGCACCAAGAGCACTAAAAAAATCTGTCAGGAGCACTAGGAAAATAATCTGCTAATGCTCCTGGTGGTGCCATGGATGTAGAGAAGAGGGGACGAGACAATATACACCTCCTCTGCCTCATTCTCCTCCTCATGGCATAGCTCTTGGAGTAGTTATTGGGTGCACAGTAACTTGTGGGGTGGTATCTGGAGATTCAGAGGATTGGGGGAAGACTCAGCTCTTTGCTGCGCACCTTGACCAGCTTGAACAAATAATAACAATTACATGCTGTAAAGTTGATTCATATGGCAACCTTTTCCAGGATTTTCCAGATACCAGAGTACTTAGAAGTGGTTTACCATTCTTTTCTTTTTGGGGCTGTCAGAATGGTTGGGTACCTGGTGTGAGGCTGTGAGTGTGATTATCTGTGGTGCCTCCTGAGAGAAAAGCCAGCCTATGTAGCTTTGAGGAAACTGCACAGTCCTAGGGCACCCACAGAGGAAGAGATGATAACCCGCTCTACTCTATGCCTATAAAACACTGTAAAAGTTTGAATCACCTTTTAATTATTAAATATCTTGATGGCATGTAACTATTATTGACCTGAATGAGGTCTGAGGAAATCAAACTATTTTCTGATTGTGGGGAGCCTTAATTTGGCTTATTCCAAGCTTTTTTTGAGACAAACCCAGGAAAGGCGGTAGTCACCTATTAATCTAAGTGGTTTAATAGTCGTTTTTACTCTCACCAAGGGAGTCTGATGATTATAATTCACTGGGTGAGGCGGCAGCAAATCCTGTAACAAGTAATGTTTAGCATCCTTGCCAAGTTTTAATTTCCAGGAACTTTAGAGGAACAAAAACTATTGAGCTGGAACACAGTCAGACATAAATAGCCAGGACCATAGGAGCAATCCACTATTGCCATGTGCCTTACTGAATCTCACCCGTCTGAATACAGCTGATTTTGCCTGATTTTGGAAGGAGGGTCAGCCTGCTTAATACTCATATGGCAGAGCATCAGGGATCTACAGGTGGGGAAGGGGGAAAAATCTACCTGAAACCCTGGAGACCTGTTGCCATCCAGAGTTGATAATATTGGGCTAAATGGAACAGCCTGATTCAGTATAAGGCAACTTGCTATGTTTGTGCAGATCCCACCTTCACCTTATATGGGGAACAGTACATGCTTTGTTTCATATGTATGACATTCAGAGGTTAAATGTGAAATGTAACTGTTTAGGGTATGTTTCAAAATTCAATACAAAATACAGTACTTCTGGGAGGGAACTACAAGCAAGATGTTTCAAAATTACCTGTATAGATAAATAAAACAAATGCATTCCTTCTTCCTTCTTCCTCCAATTTCTGTCATCTCTGTTCATTTTCTAAGGTTAAATATTTCCTCTGCTCCAAATTCTCAATGTGAAGGACAAGGATGGCTGTGCAGGGTCAGCACTGTGTGGAGGGAAAAGATAAAGAACATCTTTAGCTTATGGCCTCAAACCACTTTGTCAAAATAGGTTACATTTTATCATCCAATGGAGTATATTTTCTGCATCTCTTCTATTGTATATTATGAAATCAGATCATGTTGGAATATAACAGCATTGTTCCTGCCAAGATATAAGATTCCAGTGACATTTCCTTCTTCTACAGACAATGCACATGTGCACATTATGTTAAGGATTTGTGTGTTTTAAAAAGTACTAGCGGGACCTTCCCTTTCATGGCTCTTATATAGGGATCTATTCAACCTTTAAAACAGTAAAACAATTCATTCCTAATATGGAGCAGGTATAATGGGGTGAATATTGCAGGAAACAAACAAGGCGTTAGGACTCTTGTCGCTTTGTGTGGCACACATGGTTAAATATTTTATCATCATGGCAAATTACACAGTAATTATTAATGCCCAGCAGATAGAAACAACAAAAAGGACCTCTGTGCTGGTGCTAATGCTGGTGTGTGTGTGTGTGTGTGTGTGTGTGTGTGTGTGTGTGTGTTATATACAGTATATGCTATTCCTGGCAAATATTAAATAAATAAACTGACAATTACCACTAGATGTCACTATAAATGTAGCATGGTTAGGAGAATTGCAGGAGCTAAATTGATTATGATGAAAGCCTAAAAAGATTGCGCCCGTGTAATTTGCCGTAGCTGTAGGATCAGAGTCTCCCTTTTACTTGCTTTGAAATGCTTCAGATTATCTAAGTGGGCTTTTAGGGGTGAGGTGACCATGACTTATGTTAGATTGATCTGCCATGTTGGCTTTCCCACAACATGTGGAAAGAAAACAGTTCAGTTTGTGGTTAGAAAGAGTGTAATGGATTTGTTGCTACCATTCTTTCAGCAGTCATGTTCAGTTTGTCGAAGGAAACTTTTGTTTAGTTACAGTAAAGTTCATTGACAGTAAATCAGGAGTTGTAAAGTTTTAAATTTATGATTAAGTGATAACTTTAAGGGAAAATTTTGCAAATTAATTACTAGTTTAACATATATAATGAAGTATATTCTGTCTTACTTTTTCTTTCCTTGCCTCTGTATTCTGGATTAACTACTTCTCTAAATGTACCTGGAGTGTGATAAGAAAATCAGACTAGGGTTCTGGTTTTGGTTAGGTTATCTGAAAAGTCGTTCGTTCGTTTAGTCGTTTAGTTGTGTCCGACTCTTCATGACCCCATGGACCAGAGCACGCCAGGCCCTCCTATCTTCCACTGCCTCTCAGAATTTGTTCAGATTCATGTTGGTAGCTTCGGTGACACTGTCCAACCATCTCATCCTCTGTCGTACCCTTCTCCTCTTGCCTTCACACTTCACAGGTGCGTCTGATAGGGACACAGGAGAGAGCCTTCTCTGTCACTGCTGCCAGACTTTGGAACTCTCTCCCACAGGAGGCCAGATGGGCCCCATCTTTGCTGTCCTTCTGCAAGCAGGCAAAGGCCTTTCTTTTAGGCAAGCCTTCCCTCAGTAAATATCTACCTGTGTGTGATCTTTAGATGGATTGTTATGCATTAGTGTTTTGACTGGATTTTTGCTTATTTTCCATTTTTGTGTTCTCCATTTCTCAGAGTGGCATTGGTTTTTCTTTTTTTAATTGTATACTTACTGTTCTTAGCTTTACATATTGTCTTTTCCTGATGTTAACCACAGATGTATACCCATTGTTTTCTTCTTTAAATACTGTCTTTCACTGTTATAAGCTGCCTTGGGTCTTTTTCAAGGAGAAAGCCACGGTAAAAAATATTTTAAAGAAATAAATTATGGAACACATACTTGTGATAAACATTTGTAAATGCATGCTACAGTCACTGTTTAAACGTACATTTAAAATATGTGCTTATGGAGGAAAGATGAGTACACTTGTGATTCCCCGCATGAAAGCTGTGGGCTTTTATAGACTTTGTGACCCTCAAATGGAAGCCCACAGAGGATTATGCCTAATCTAAAGGTTATCCCTGCTAGAATGTTACATTTCTATAATTTTCATTGAGGAGCCTCTTGGAAAACTGGTTAAATTGCAGTGAGGACTCTACTCAAGTCCCAGGTTCAATTCCAGGTAGCTGGTTTGAGGTTTACTCGGCCTTCCTTCA